GAGGTTCCCTTGCACCCTTCTCATCAAGTCACAAACGAAAGCTTTTTGGGGGAAATTAACAGATGCTGCACTCTGCCTGGAGTAATGCAGCAGCTGGAGCTGAGCAATTCATTCTGATGGTCGGAGGCTTCCCGTTAGTCAGCAAAGAACCACACCGGTGGATCACGGAGTTACGAAGAAGCTCATCCCTGCATTTGGGAACTGAGCCTGGATCAGTGCCAAGAAATGTGGCCCTGAAGTCTCTGGGAACTGACTTCAAGGAGATGGCACCCCCCTTCCCATCTCCACCCTGGCCAGAGCAAAGGAGCAGAAGGCAAAACGGGTATTGCAGCAATGGGAAGAATCATACGGTGATAAGGGGAGAGCGTGCTTTTTGAGCACAACAGGTCCCAGATCAAATGCTCACATCCCCAGGTGGAGGGGAGAGAAGCTCCCTCTGAAACTCCAGAGCCAGAGCCACTAATGGCTGGGTCAGTGATGCACGTCTGTTGAATCAGCCACGATTTGGTGAGGCCACCGCAATTTACAAATCCTGAGATCTGCGTATAGTGCAAAGCCTACACCAAGCAATCCCCATGGTGTTGTGCCAGGGTGACCCGGCAGTCAATCATGGGTTTAACAGTGAGTGAAGGAAGGTCTACGTCAGCCCTGGGGAAGCAAATTTGAGCTTCCATTTTTAGGAGAACAGCCTGCCGGCAACAGTGCTTTTCAGCCAGTTGCTTCTATAAGCCTGGGGATACATTAAAAACTCACACATGTTCCCAGCAAGGTTTTTATTAAAGAGCAAGAAGGTTCACAAGGCCACAACAGGCAAGCCCAGCTCTTAACTTGCGATCCATCAGCCTAGATCTGCAGACCCACTGCACTACGCAAGGAAGGGGAGCTGGTGTGATGTTCCCAACTGGGATGCTCACTCCATCAGCGAAATCTGTCAGTCCCGAACAGTCCCATCAACTTGCTTGGAATAATGGGCTACCAGAATGTTTAGGACCCATCTTTTAAGGCAACACCTGCTGCTGGCGTCCTCTGAAAAGGAATTCCGTCCCCCTAGGACTGTGAGCAAGTGAGGATCTCTTTGAAGCTTGGGTCTGCTATAAACCGCACATGCTCCCTAAAAAGGTCTGTCTCTTGAGTGCAGATATAATCAGGCCTAAGCTTCAAACAGGCGGCAAGGCAGTACATTTGTCACCATATCAAGATTGTGGTCCTGTGCAGCCTATTTGCAAGATCAGATGCCCGTGGCAGAGATGAGAGCCAGCAAAACAGGGAATGAGACTTATGGATGGCCCAAGTAACACCCCGATTACACAAGGAGACTGATCACAGGCAGAGAGACTCTTCCATGCACTTCCGTATCTGTGTTTTACCTTCTGTGCCTGTGTGTGTGAGTGTGTGTGTTTGCTCCTCTATCAGTTGTTGTTCTAATTGTAATACAGTACTGATGTTTATAACCAAACACACAAATAAAGATCCAGGAATGCTTTTAGCATTTTTTTTCTAGCAATCAACAAAACATGCCAATCAAACAAAGCTCTCTAAGGTGGAAAACGTTTTCCAGTTGACAATATACCCCATAAAATTTTCCACATGCCCTCAGAGACACATATTCAGCATCTGGCATTGCCAACGGTCTTCAGATCATTACCGAAAGAGCAGGGTAGCCCAGCCAGCTAGCAACAGGGCCAATGTTTAGGCAATTCAAACACTCCTTCCAGAGAGTACAGGTTTTAAAAGCAGCCACTGCACGTTAAATACATTTAATTACAAGACTCTGTTCTGCCTCCCAACACAGTCTGAGCCTCAGTCTCAACAGCCAGGAAAATTCCTCCATGCTATGGAATTCTCTGCTAAGGACAACTTTAGCCTAACAAATGGAATATTCAGAATCACATTTTCTTACAAAATGAGGCTTGTTTCATCAGCTTTATTTTCAAGGTGATGAGGGAAAGAAAGCAACATAAAAGCTCAAACGGTTACTTTTGAGATACAGAATATGCCATAAATAAAAGGTTGCATTAATACAGGATCGGTCAGGGTGGAAGAAACAAAGAAAATCAGACATGAAAAACAATTAGCACAAGGAAGATGCAACCATCCCCATGAAAAGTTATATTAAAAAAGGAAAAAAAAATCCCAAGCGAAACAGGTTTTAACGTTTGAAAGACTCTTTTACACTTTACACCACAAAACCATTATATTACAAGCCTGATCCAAACAGCTCAACATGAAACCAAACTGTTAAGACTATAAAATCTGCTTGCAAGAAAATAGCATGAGAACCAACAGGAACGCCAGCTATGAAAGATCAACAGTTGTGCTCTTCTTCAACATCTACTTTTACTAGAATGTAGACAGGAGATGTGTCCATCAGTACGTGTGGGTGCTATGGGAGTTACGCACTGGGGAACCAGCACCTCGATGAAAGATTGGATGGGGAGGCTTTCCTGAGCACGATGCTTGGAGTGCAGCCATTTTGAATGGGGTGGCACGTTCTCCCCCTTTGTGTTAAAAGATTAAAAGTTTGCATCTTGTTTCGTGATGAATCACAGCTGGCTATTCTTTCTGAACCTGGAAAAGGAGGGTCTCTGAAAACCTGAATAACTAATCACAGCTTGGAGGATTTGAACAGAATCGGCAAATGAGAAGAGTATATTTCAAAATCAGACCAAGCAGCTGCCAGAGTCCCTTTCCTGAAGGGGGAACCAAGGCGGGAGTGCTGGGGCTAGAGGCCACTTCATTGTAATTATTTCAGGAACTGAAATCCATGGCTGTAACTTCTTTTCCTATGTTTGTGCAATAATTAAACATCAAAGAAATTACATGGTTTTTTTCCCCCCAGGCACAAGAATAAAGAGAACTACTTTGCTTTTTGTTTGGTGAACAAAAACACGTATTTATAACTTACTTGGCTGTTTGGCCTCTTCCACCCATACTGAACTCACAGAAGAGGCTTGGTGTTCAAGGTGAACCCAAATGGACTCATAACACTCAAACTGGAGGAGAAAAATTGCAGCATTCCCAGAATAACTAAGAAACTTGGCAGCATCTGGGAATATACTGTATCTCAAGTTGTTTCCTCCTTGTAGAATGTATCAGTCAATTGCAACCATGTCCAGAAATCAGCACTTGGAACAACAGTTTCCAAACTGACCTGACCGTGGAAAGTTCAGTTATCGATTTAGATGCAGTTTCTTTAAAAATAAAACTAGCAGTTAGCTCTCTGAAAGGTATTTCATAAATCTCTTTTTTAAAAATTTATCTCTAAAGGATATGAAAAGTTAAGTCAAAACTTTTTAATACGAACGATTTGGAACAAGTAGATCTCGTTTCTCACTGGAGAGTAACAAGAATGCCAGGATGAGGACGGAAGGGCAATCAACAGAAAAGGCTCCAAAATATGGTTGATGTCCCAAAGATTCTCATTAAAAAGACTTGACTGCATAGCAACACATCCTTTTCTAAGGGATGGGTCTCACTCACCTGAAGGGACCATCCCCTCTCTATTTACATTTGAAAATTAATGCTCTTTTTTTTTCTCTTCAGCACAGTGAAAATCCCAGCAAGTCGAATCAGTGGGAATCTTCTTAACAGAGATGTAAAACAGCCTTATTAATCTCTGGGTTTGTCCAGTCATTCCGAATGTCATCCAAGTGATTGTCAAAATCTACTAGTGTTTCGTAGGAGCGGCTATCCAAAAGTGATTCAGAGATCCTCTGGGCCTCTGTCCAATCTTCACAATAATCACTGGGAAGGGAGAAATAAAAGAATCAGTGGTCTTCAAGAACCAACCAATGGAAGCAAAAGACGATCTGAGGAATTAGTACACCTGAAGTGAAACTGATGCTGAAATTACCAACCATGGTGAACCCTGGGAATTTCAACAAAAAGGGGCATGTCAGAAAAGTGAAGTTCACATATTAGTCCCATTCTGGCACGGTGCTGGTTTAGCATAATGTGGGTCAGCCTCAGACTTCCTTGTGTGAAACTAGGCTGAAGCTGCCATAAACTAAAGATGAAGCAGGCAGTATGCAGAGAGGACAAAAGCCAGGAAACTTATCTATGAGATCCCTTCAGGGAGGTAGGTAAGAAGGAAGCAAGTCGTTAAGGAAAAAACAAAGGACCTGAACCAGAAAAAGGAAGTTGGGCCTGAGTACATGGAAGCCCT